GGCAGAACTCCCTCTGACTGCTGGTTGAGGAAGACGTGCTGCTGAAAGAGACACACGCTCCTGAAAGAGACACGTGCTGCTGGGAAAGAGATGCAAGAGACACGCATTGCTGAGTAAGACACCGAGGGACATGCACTGCTGGGGGAGAGACTGTGAGAGACTTGGCTGAGAGACGGTGGTCTGGGAGAGAGACTGAGCGTTTTTCCTGAACTTGAATTGTAATCTGATGCATCCCTAATAAACCTCATAATCTGTGAGTTCTGTGTGGCCACTGCAGTGAATTATCGAACCCAGGAGAGAGGTGGTGGTGCCTTGGGAGGAAAGGTTGGAGAAAGGGCTGGAGGGAGGCAGCATGTCTGGCCTCGCAGGAATAGGTCTTGGGCTATTGATGGTGATTCTGTCTTCCTCTTGTGGGGTTCTAGGAGGTCAGAATATGTGGCCTCCTTGTCCTTTTTGCAACAGGAATGAACAAAACACAATGGTTGCCTTTAAGAAGCCTTCAACTGATGTGGTAGGCTTGTTAATAAGAAATCTAGTTTAAGGAAGTGTTTTTCCAAAGTATTTTGCACTGGATGTTCGTTCATATTTGTAAGGGAAAAAAAAAATCCATTGTAAATAAATTTGTGGTACACTTGATTAAACAAAATTAAGCAGCTTCTTTTCTTTTCTGTGCCTTTAATATGCTTCTGTCTCATGCAGGAACAAGGGCAGTAGTGGTGATGGTAGCTCTACAGATGCAAAATCTCTCCAACATCACTGGCCACTCTTCTACCCAGAAACATCACTTAGGGAATAATTGAGGAAATACTGGATTAAGGCAAAATGTGCTAAGTGCGAAAACTGTACTATAATCCACGTACTATGGAAATATGAAAGGTCACAGCCTTGAAAACCCTATAAAACAGAATTCTACTCTATATACATGGGGTGGCCATGAGTAGAAATGGACTCGAGAGCAACTAACAACAATGGAAATGCAGATGGATTCTAAATGGTTTTGAGGAATAAACAGAATTTGACTGAGACTTCTAAAAATAAGTAGAAAAGTACCCTAGAAGTGAAGAACACAAGCAAAATAAATAAAAGAACAAGCTGCCCAGATTGTTAAAAGAATAAAATGAGGATAAGAAGTAAGAGGCAAGGATGGAAATTTAGATTGAGGCCATATCATAGAAGAACTGAGGGCTTTGAAGGAAGTTGGACTTCATTCTTCAAGCATTAAGGAGTCACTGAAATCTCCAAGCAGCAAAAGAACTTCATCATAGATGTGTTCTACAAAAATTACTCAGTGGGGGAAGGCGGGGCAAGATGGCGGACTAGGCAGAAGGATTGCACAGACCCTCTTAAACAAAGAAAAGGGAAACCAATTAACACAGACACAGGAGATAATCTTGGACCCCTGAGCCTTGAAGGAAAGGATGCAGATTTGGA